ATACTTTTTTCGAACTTTCAAAAACGACAGTTTTTTCGAACTGTCAACAATGTACGAGATTGTGCACTGTGACCTCATATTTTATTTGCGTCAAACAGCCTACTTCTTTGTTAAACCTTTGTTGGAAAAATACTAAAATTAAGTTAGTCATAAAATCATTTAATGAAAGTGTGATTATTTTTTTATATTTAATAAAATCAAAATAATTATTTATTTTTTAATTAAGGTAAGTACCCAATTTCAAAATCTGCTGATATATTACGTAGTTATAGACGTTTTAAATACAATGGAGTCTAGAAATTCAATTCAATATCATGTTTAATCAACACTATCTATTAATAGCTACTGCGACATAATATAATATCATTCCAGTATATGGTATCAAAGGAATGCTTAATGTGTACTGGCTATATATACAAATGTAACACACATTCGAATTCCGTGGTCTAATTCAATGTTTTGCGGTATTCTAACAAAACTGCGCATAATGCAGTTAGCGGCCGTCCATTAATTACATGTGGTTTTTGACCGACTTCAAAAAAAGAAGTTTTTCAGTTTAACCTGTATGTATGTGTGTTTGTGCGCGATTATCTCGCGATTGGCTGATTCGATTTTGAACCGGTTTTCAAAAAAGTGTTTGAAAAGACTTTAAAAGTAGTTTATAAAAGAATTATTTAGCGTTTCTTTTTAATTACCCTCTCCCTTGGTGATATGTGGTAGGGTTTTAGGGGTTAGTCCTCGTCTCCACCAAACATAAGGTTCCAAGTCTAAAATATTAACCAATTTGGTTAAAGATATACGTACGTACGTCTTTTATGAAGTTGCTATTAGGGTGGAGGGAAATGAAAAAACCTGCACTACACTCCATTTTAAGGGGTATAATTATAAACTACGTTTTAAAAACCAACTTTAGCCCCCTCTTTTTTAAGTCGGTACTATCCAATATAGTGTCCAGTAGAAGTTTCCATAAATACTAAAATTAGGCTGTAAAGTACAAATACTTATTTAAAAAGTAAAAATAACATAAAATCACGCCTTTTATCCCCGAAGGTATAGGCAGAGGTGCACACAGAAGTTACACCCACTTTTCACTATTTATGTTATGAGTCCCATGTAGGAGGTGAGCCTATTGCCATAAATATCCCTGACACATTTCCAGACTCCGTGCTATAACTTCTGAGGTTGTTTTAAAACCCAGTTACTTTGCCCGACTCGGGAATCGAACCCGAGACCCCTTGTCCGGCAGACGCACTTGTTATTATTGAGTCCAACTAGAAAAATATCAAAGAAATTTCCAAAATTACTGGTGGTGTCAAATAAATTACTAAAAGGATGTTAATTGCTAGTGACAATCTTTTGCTGAAAGAACAAGATGGCCGCCTAATTAAGTTATTTCGTTTCAAAGGTAGTCAGTTTGTAGCGAAAAAATATAAAAATAATTTTCCCAACTTTATATTAAGGAAATAACCTCTATTTTCATATTGAGTTCCTTAATTCTAGATATTGTAAAGAAGGTTGTGTTTTCGAAGCTTAATTTTTAGGTCATTTTTTAGGTCTCCCTTTATAGTTATTTTCTTGTAGTATATAAATTATTTTGTGGCGTTATTTATTACGATAAAATTTGGTTTCATTTTGATGTAGAAGCCTTTACATTTTGCTATTTTTTTATTTCGTTTTAATGTAATAACACTTTTTTCTTTATCTTTATTTTTATACGTTCCCCCCACCAGAATTTTCTCATTTGTTACGACACAGGGGAGAATTTTACGTGTAAGTACGTGTGCGTTTACAAAGATACAAGTTCACATACACATTACACACAGACCTGGAACAACAATCTATGGATTACACAAATAGTTGCTTTGTGCGGGAATCGAACTCGTGACACGTTGCACGGCAGCCAGTTACCCAACCACGGCGCAAACCGGGCAGTCATCAATCGTGCATCATCCATCGTTAATAACACCGAATGAAATATAGTACCAAATCCTACCAGTATTAACATTTTATAAATAAAAAAAGCTATATAATATTATACATACGGTGACAACATTGTTACACATTTTTTTTTAAATTTACTTTTTTTTAAGTGGCGAAAATCATCGAATGACTTCTCCCGCCTGGGTGAGGCAGGAGGGAGTGTCAGACTTTTACTGACTAAAAACCACCCCGTTCCTACTCCTGCACTTCGAGCCGGACCCCCAGTAGCACGTTAGCGCTTAAACCGATAGTGGCGCCATAAAATTAGTTAAAAGATATATTTGGTTTAAAACTCGTAAAATATTTTCTAATCAGTATTTATGTGCCAATTTGTTTGCAATAAATAAATACGTAGATATATTAGAAAGATCGTTACAAACAAATTTAATACATTAATATTCAAGAATCGTTGTAGCTTGAAACAAAGCTGATTGGCTCGCAAGTAATGTAAGACATTTACAGGTTATTCAACCGTTTAAATTAAGTTTAATTTGCTCTGCAACACTTGTTAATATGTACTTCAATTTATTTATCGTAATGAATCCTTAACACCATTTAAATATTTATCGATGTAAACTAATATGATAAATATGTATTATTACTCTAAGGACCAATTTTCCCAACACCAGATAAATTTTAACTGGGGTATAACACCCGGTAGGAGGACTGTGACCTGTAGGTCACAGTTTAAAAGATTCAGGCTCATCAGAGAGCGTTGCTGCCCGGTCTTTGTCGAATGTGCACCCAGTCCAGTAGTCGGTTTTTACAAGACCCGCGTACAAAAATGAAGAGTAGGTGACTTCTGAGAAATGTATTTAATTATGCCGTTACCACATGGTCAAATTACTTTACAGTTTTAAACATTACACTATAACAAATGCTCCTATACCTTTAGATAGCGAAGGACATACGGGCGTCGGGGATCGCGGGACGATCTCCGGCGCCTCAAAGAGCCATCAGACCACCACGGATGGGGCCCAATAGGGCTGATGCCGATACGGTTTGCCGGGGCTCCGGTTCGAGGGCGGGAGTAGGAACGGGGTGATTTTTAGTGAGTAAGAGTCTGACAATCCCTCCCGCCTGACCTAGGCGGGAGAAGTCATTTAATGATTTTCCCGTCTTAAAAAAATACCTCTAGATAAACCTGGTCTAAGGTTTAAATACAACAGAATCATATATAGTAGAGTCATAAACCTCGTTATTCTTGAAATACGACCCGATGAGAGACGTTAAAGGTCGTATGTACCGTTATTCACGATGTAAGTGTTATCTTAATGATGTAATAAAGTTTCATAATATGAATAATAATGGGGGCTTATTAAACCTAGATGTTTTAGTGGTCAGAAGAAGGGGTTCTGAGGTGGTAGCAGATTCTTACTGGCGATTGGGTTTTGAAACCATTAAAGTATTTTTGAGTTTGTAGAATTTGTCAATAGGAATTTCTGTGTCATTTTTACCGTGGTATATCAGTGCAGTACAGGACGTTCACTCTTTACATAGACAGATGTCGGAATAAAGGTCGCAGGAAGCCGTTGCATGCACGTGGTTTCCAGTTGCCTAATCTGGAAAACAATGAGAGATACCGATGGTTGGTATTAGACATAATACCGTAACTGACTTATGTGTAATAATAATACCAACCAATGATTCTTAATCAATCCCAACATTAAATTTTATCGATTTTCGATTCAAATCTAAGGTTTCTTAGAAAGACAGTGAAGCATTTAATTAAATATTTATCCAAACGACACAATAACAGTGATACACCACGTTTCATTGGAAAAACAACGATTCAAAATTGCAAATCTCCAACGTATTACCACAGGCATAACGTCGAAAATCGCTGCAATATCGGATAGAGAGGAAAATTACATTGTGACTGTAAATAATAGATCGATTCGAATCGATTCTCGTTAAAAGAAGTTCTATCGGACCTTGAATGGAGAACTGCAATCAATATTTGTCATATTGTATCGATGTGGGGACGGGGTGGATTCTGTTGTATGAAAAATAAAATGAATATTGTTGGAGAGGTTCTCGTTCAACCTAAAGTCTATTGTTCCTATATATTTATACTCTTTGGTATATTGTTCCTTGTCTCTTGTGAAAAATCCTTAAAATAGAGAAGCAATGGGAATAGTCATAATAAGATCGTTACTCTTGATCAAGATGATTTAAAACTTCCGTACACAACACAGTTCAAGATTATACTAGGTACTTTTTAAATCTTTATTTTAACATTCATAATATTCTGCCTTTTATCCCGAAGGGAGAGAGGCAGAGATGCACATTACTGCGCTTAATGCCACTGTACAATATAACACCCACTTTTCACTATTTATGTTATGAGTCCCCTGTAATAGAGGTGAGCCATTTGTTATATACCGGGATTTTTTTTTTAATAGGCTTAGTCAAGGGCAATTCACTTGCATTCAATAGGTTCCTCTGGTCAGACACCAGAATAGGGTGCTGCATAGTAAAATATTAAATATGGCTGTCCAATGTGTCTATATTACTCAGTTATATTTCTGACAAAAGTTTCAGTGTGTCTGTGTTGTTATGGTTGGTCAGTTCTAGTGGAGTGTTAGGCATAGAACTATTCTTTTTTTGTAGTGTTTTGTGAACTTCGTGTAGGGAAAATTGAAGTGGGTATGTCTATTGTCTATCGTACAATTGTTATGCAAATCAATTCGGTTCAAGATTTATTTTTAACTAAATCTAAATCTTTAAAAATACCTAATTAATGATTGTTTACCATTCAAAAATGTATTAAAAAGACACTGGATCTTAAATACAAGGACCCGGTGCCTCCTTCAGGTGCGGAAGGTGGCCACCGGGGAGGTTTTAGTGAAGTAAAAATCTCACACTTCCTAGTCTTTTTTCCCCAAAAAGCATGCACCTTTTGATGGTTTCCACCATCAACAAAAAAAAAATCTTAAATACAATACTTTTTACTATACACTAAAAACATATGAAAGTAGATAATGTTCTAAAAATGAAACATCATCTTTTGTCTCCAGGCGTGTGGCCAGCTGAAAGTTTAGAAGGACCTGCAACTGTCCGTGGTAGCTCAGTAGACTACGCCGCGGCACTGCTACTTGCTGCAATGGCCGCCGTACTTCTAGCTGCTGTGGGCTACCAATGCGCTGCCACCTGGAGGTGGATTATGGGCAGGTCAGTAGACATAGTTTGAACTGTTTAGAGATTTGGATGACCTTGGAACTGTAAGTGGAAGGCTATAAAAGAGGTGGTAGGATAGTGGAAGGATGTGATGATAGGAAGTATCTAATGAACTCATTAACTATTCAAGATCTTTGAATTTTTACCGTTATCTTAAAAAATTGAATTAAAAGCTAAAAAGTTGTTATAAAATGATGATGAATGGGATCTTATTTAGGGATTACATAAAATAAGAAAAATTACTTTGAGATGTAAGAATAAGTTTAATGCTTGGTTCCGTTTCTGTAGTTTTAATTCCACGTTTCGTCAGCCATATAAAACATTTCTCTTTTTTCTGACCGCATCACAAATTATTTGGATTACCTATAATTACGTCATTTTGCCGCCTTCGTACATGTTACGTTACGCCATTTCGTACAGATACTCATCTGTACGAAATGGAGGGTTATTAACTTCCTCACGTAAATGATATCTGTCATTCGCATTTATACAAACAAAATATTTATTTCCTTCAACTTCACACTTCTCTCTTCACTTAAAATATTAAAATATTGTGCTTCAGACATCGGAAGTGGGATGTTTAAACGTTGGATGCATGTTTATCAGACATTTTGTCGTTGGCAGTGAGATGACATTTTAAATATTTGCTCCGAGAATATTTTTGGAATTGCACTCCATTTTCGCATCTTTGACAATAAGAACAGTTCCTTTGACATTTAATTTAAAATATTACGTTTAGTTTTCATTTAGTTATGAAGGAATGCAAGTTATTTGTTCACGTTTTATTTTATGAAATGAGAAATGTTAGTTCTTGAGCAGTTTTTATTGCAATTAATGGAAAGACATTCTGATTTGATGGTTATATTACAAGAAATAAAGTATTTATTGCTATAAATGAATAAAGCTTGAATATTCGCAATATTTTACACTATCAATAAGGCACCTTACCTTTTTGCAGTTAGGATTTATTTTACAAAACTAAACTAAACCAAACTGTAGCTGTCATACCGTTACTCTTTTTATAAGAATCACGACATTTATTGTTTCTTTCTAACCTTTTATTTCTTTATCTTCCACTATCACATAGTTTTACGACTTTTTTAACAGATCACTTTGGTGTAGGACACGTCGGGATTCGGAGGAGAGTAACTGCGACTCCCTCTCTCGCCAAGCTGCCATCCGCATCAGTCATTCTCTACCTGACCTCCAGACTGAACCTCTGAAGCAAGAGTACGTTCAGGAGCATAAGGATCCTGCTAAGAAGGTAAGAATTATAAATTAGTTTTTAGTAATACTTGATGACGGTGAAGAAGGTTCAGAAGGTGCTTAAATTTTTGGGGATGAAATTAGGAAGTGTGCCATTCTTAACTTAAAAACCACTTGTTTAGTCGGTTTATCAGTACTTATAAGGGGAAGTAGTTAGAAGTACAAATATTTCTTTACCTAGTTGGAATAAAGGACTGGTTTTTTTGGGTAAAGTATAATTGGTTATACATATGTATATCTTTAGACTGCCTCGTTGGCCGAGTGGTCACAAGTGTGGCTTCGCGGCAAGTGGTCGATTTCTGGGTTGGGCAAAGCATTACAGGGCTTTTTAAAAATTCTTAGTAGTAGCACGGAGTGTGGAATTGTGTTTGATATATGGCAATAGGCTCAGCCTCTATTACATGGGACTCATAACTGACATAGTGAACAGTGGGTGTGACGTTGTACAATGGTATTAAGTGCCGTAATGTGCACCTCTGCCTACCCATTCGGGGATAAAAGGCGTGATGCTATGATGATGTTATGATGTTAATATAACTATTGACTTAGAAAGATGACTATAATAGCCTCATTAGAAATGCTTTGACTTTGATATAAGTAACGTAAAGAACACTATTTGTTTATAATTTACATGTCTTTAAGTTGATATTGAATTTTGAACGTTTGATTATCAGTTATTTAGGTATCAACTTGGTAAGGTAATACGAGGCTCGGTTTGTGATGGAATAATATTTATTACTATAGACTAGTACAAGCTGGAGTGGGATATGGTAAAACAATTATAATTTCTATTAGTTATATAGGGACAATCCCCGCTTGAAGACGCGTCTAGTAGGAACGCCCACTGCACCGCTGTCATAGGGCAGGACGGAGGATCGGAGGATGCGCGTGCGATGCATGCTGCGCTGTACTGCCTCTGGAGGCGGGGCCTGCTTACACGTGCCGGGGGCGTAACGCACCTAATGAACGGGCCGAGTGCAAACATCATACGATGGCCCGTATTCATAGTCCAGTTGCGTATATCATCACGACCACTTCTCGGATTGGGGTAAACGATGATTCGTTTTTGTGTATGCGATTTGATCGCTACAGTTATTATTTCATTTTTCCATATAGCTGATTACCCTCCCTTTTGCTTTCTGTTCTTCACTCCCAGTTATTCATGTCTTTACTATTTTTTTAATCTGAAGCCAAAACATTTTTAATTAACCAATTTTTAGTTACTCGATTACAGTGAAAACTCAATTTTTACCACTATTTAATTCATTACTCGCTTCTGCTCGCGACTTCGTACACGTAATCCCGGTTTTTCCCGTTCCCGTAGGACATTACGGATTTTTTAAGTCATAAGAAACTTCTCCTCATATTAACAAATGCATCAAGAAACGAATTAGTGAACGAAAGTTTTACTATCATGAGACTTTATATGGAGAGACTTCCAAAACAAGCTTACAAAAATCACGCCAGCACTATCCCGAAAGCTGAAACTATACAATTTCATCTAAGTTAGTTTACATAAATAAGAACTTGACCTACCTATGTTGATTTATGTATTAAGTTGTAGGTAAAACAGGTCCAAATTAGAACTCATACAATAGGGCTTAATGTATTTTTTTTATAGCATAAGCCAACAAGTAAACAAGCAGACGGATTACCTGATGGTAAACAATCGGCGTCGCCTAATGGACACCTGGAATACCAGAGGCGTTACGAATGTGTTACTGGCCTTTTGGAGATTAGGAGTTTGAGGATCGTTGGGGATTCAGGAATTGGGGAGATTGGGGAAGGGGAGGGTAATTGTGCCTCCGGTAACCTCACTCTCACGACGAAATACAACGCAAGCGTTGCTTTACTTCGGTTTTCTGTGAGACCGTGGTATCACTCCGGTCGAGCCGGCCCATTCGACCATGGCTCTCTCACACTATATATTTGTGAAGACTGTTGCAGCCCTATCTTGTGGTATTATATAGGTTTCCTTACACATGTGTCGCTTCCAACCGGCCTATCTGAAAATCATTGGGGGAGGCCTATGTTCAGCAGTGGACGTCCTATGGCTGATATAATGATGATGATGATGATGATGACATAATAATGTCTCTGAATACATATAACAGAACAATTTAACCCTGAGTTTACTGACTGCCTCATTGGCCGAGTGTTGACAAGTGCAACTGCCGGGCAAGGGGTTTCGGGTTCGATTCCCGGGTCAGACAATGCATTATTGGGCCTCTGGTAGCCTCATTCACTTGACAAAACACAACGCAAGTGTTGCTTCACGTCAGTTTTCTGTAAGGTCGTGGTATCACTCCAGTCAAGCCGGCCGAAGCATGGCAGTTCCACAATAAAATATTGTTTCAAACACATTTGAACAGAATGCGCGAAGTTCGTCTCTCGACTTTTTAACTCTTTCATCGTTATGTCCTTGGCCCACTTCGGAAACTCATATTCATTATTTATGATATTGCAAAATATATTCCGGCTGCTTCCCCGAAGACAAGAAATTTGATGTGTCGTGTATTTTAATACCTGATATGATATTCATAGTAGGTACTTTACACATTTCACACATACTCAGAGGGCATCGACCTTTTGAAAAATGAGTATTAAAGCATTAAGGGCAACCTTTTTTTCGGCATTTATCTTTGGTTCAAGATATTTACATGTTTTTATTATTTTTTGTCACGTTTCGTATGCGTGAAATGTCGGTCATATTAGCCCTTTTGGGACGTTAAGGATAAGATTTCGTAACCACTTAGAGGCTGAAGTAGTCTCGCCTGTTGTTAAGGGGTAGATATTAGGCAAAACATTTTTTTTTTGTTTTGAAGGGTGAAAATCAGACAATGTCTTCTCCTGCCTTGGGTTAAGCGAGAGGTGTCAGAGTCATACTGACTAAAAACCACCCCGTCCCTACTCCTGGTCTTCGAGCCGGAGCTCCGGCAACCCGTCAGTCTGGCCCGGAGGTTTAAGACGCCCGCTTCTCATGCACGAGGGGATAGGTTCGAGACCTACCAACGGCAAGTACCGTTGTGACTTTTTCCGAGTTATATGTGCTTTCTAAGATTATCTAGACACATCTGACAAACTTTGTAGGAAAACATCGTGAGGAAACCTGGGCGTCATTGTTAGTTCTTGTGAACCCCTTCTTTTGGGGCCCGCAAGTAACTGGTTAAGTGGGGCTTGGATGGCAGCCGTGTTTGGCAACAGTCTTCGGTAAAAGTTAATCATGCCGAGGAAACGTCTAAGTTCCTTGATGGTCTTCGGCGGAGGATACTGTTGTATGGCCTGTATCTTCGTTTCCAAAGGTTGTATTCCCGCCGCCGATACCTTGAAACCGAGGAATTTTACCTCGGGTTGACCGAAAACACATTTATTTGTATTTATCAAAATGCCATAATCTGCTAACTTTTGAAAGAGTGTTCTCAAGTGTTGTTCGTGAAGGTTGTTGTCGGAACTATAGACCAAGATGTCATCTAAGTACCCGAAGCAAAAGTCCAATTCCCGCAGAACTTCGTCCATGAAGCGTTGGAACGTTTGAGCAGCGTTACGAAGTCCGAACGTCATGAACGGAAATTCGTAGAGGCCGAAAGGCGTAGTGATGGCTGTTTTGGCTATATCTGCTTCGAAGACTGGTATTTGGTTGTATGCTTTTATTAAATCGATGGTAGAAAACACAGTGCTGCCTGCCAACTCTTGGGTAAAGTCATGGATGTGTTTGATTGGATATCGGTCGGGGATTGTGCGTGAGTTCAATGCTCTGTAATCTCCACACGGACGCCACCCCTCGTTTTTCTTTCGGGCTAAGTGAAGCGGTGAGGACCACGGGCTGTCTGATCTGCGGGCTGTGCCATTTTGAAGCATCTCCTCGAATTCTCGTTTAGCTATCTTCAGGCGCTCGGGATCGAGGCGGCGTGGGCGACTGGAGATGGGTGGTCCAGGTGTTGTGCGGATATAATGTACCGTGGAATGCTTGATGTTGACGGGTTTAACCATCGGACGCGTCACATCTGGATATTCTCTTAAAAGGCGATGGTAAATAGTGTTTTCTGTGGTAGTGCGAACTGACGAGATTGTTTCCGTAGATGTTTGGTTTGGTGTGGCGACTGTTAATGACGTGACGCCATCGATTAGTTGTTGACCGCGGCAGTCGACTAACAAGTTATAGTAGCCAAGAAAATCGACACCTATGATGGGTTTTGACACGTCTGCCACGGTGAAACGCCATGTGAAGGCTCGGCGAAGTCCGAGGTCCAACGTGATAGGTAGGTCACCATATGTAGAAATTACTGTTCCGTTTGCTGCGAACAGTTCATATTTCGTTTTAAGTCGTGCCTCTCGAACAGCAGATCGTGGAAAAACGCAAAGATCTGAGCCTGTATCTACTAGGTATTGTATCTTGGTGGTGCGGTCCGTAATGAATAAGCGGCTCGTTGTTGCGGGGCAGTCGTTAGCCGCCACTAATGGCTGCCTTGATAGTTTTCCGACTTCTTGAAGGTACAGGGTTGAGTACATCTACGTGCTCGTTCACCGAAATGGTAGTGATACCAACAGTGTGGGTGGTCAATAGGGCGAGAACGTGAACGGGGGCGATCTCTGGCGTTTCTTGTTATGGAGCGCGAGCGGCTGTTTCTCTCGAAGTTTACGCTCATAGCCTCCACCCTACGACTGAGTTCCGCGACTGTCCGTGTTAGTGCTTCAATCGCGTTATCTTCGATTTGAGTCGTAGGTTCTGACGTGCTAGCCACTTGGTTTGGCCCTGGGATGGTCACTGGAACGACGTCGTGCACCCGATCCGCCAATTCTGCGAGGTCCTCCAACGCCATTTTTTCTTGTTGGGCCGCGATACAAGTCTGCAAGTGAGTGGGTAGGCGACTGGTCCAGATGGTCTTAATGAAATCTGGAGGCACTGTTTGTCCGGCCAGATGTTGGAGGTGTCGCAGAAACTGGGTTGGTTTTCTATCGCCCATTTCTTCGTGCATTAGCAGTTGCTTTATTTTGCGC